TAAAGTAAAAGCTAAGTACAAATTCAGAATAATTGCTAATATAATCTCTTTCCAGTTTTCAAAAGTACAATTATTAACACATAAAGAAAGGAATATATATTTTTCCACTGAGCTCAGTGACTCACACCTGTAATCCCAGCACTTTGGGAGGCAGAGGCAAGAGGATTGCATGAGATCAGGGATTCAAGAGGAACTTGGGCAACTTGGTGAGACCTCGTCTCTATAATTATATCAAAAAATTAGCAGGGCATGTTTGTGCATTCCTGTAGTTTCAACTACTTAGAAGGCTGAGGTAAAAGCATAACCTGAGCCCAGCAGGTTGAGGCTGTGGTGTCCGTGATTGTGCCACTGCACTCCAGCCTGGGCAACAGAGTGAGACTCCAACTTAAAAAAAAAAATTTGTATATATTTTTTCAGTTGAGTATTTTAATAATGGCATTAGAATCATTTTGTGACTTTTTTTTTGGTTGTATTTATATTCTGTTTTAAAACCTCTTTTTTTATGTTTAAGATTTGAAAGTCTCCATTATTGGACTCTATTATAATGCTTTTGGCCAGGAAAACTAAATATTTTGGAATGCAGATCATTAGATTCTTTAATGATAGTTACAGTAATAAATTATGACAGACAGTGATTTTATGGTGTAGATGGTGTTGTTAGAAAATAAAATGTCCTAATAGGAAGTTCATCTTTACTTCATTACTTTGAGTTAATTTAGGAAACACAAATTTATGGCCTGAAATAATTATATATAATCCAAGATCAAAAAGTATTACCAGCCTTTTTGTGTTCATAGACTCAGAGAACAAGGAAGGAATATATGGCCCATTGATTGTTCTTTTGCAAAAACTAATTTTAGAAAACTAAAGAACAGTGAAAAGTAAAAAGCTATTCAAAATGTACTGATACTTTGCTTTCTGTAAGTCTTGACGCTGGTTTGTGTTATTCCTTTTTCTCCCTAAGGTTTTTTGTTTAGTTTGGGAAACTATCTTGTTGCTTACATTTTTAAAAGTCAAGTTTATTGAGGTATAATTTAAATAAAACACAGTGCACTTATTTGAAGTGTATAGTCTACATTTTGACAAGTGAAGCTGTCACCAAATTAAGATATAAGACATGTTTATCACTCCACAATACTTTCTCAGTTCCTTTTGCAATTAATCAAATTATCACCCCAGGCACCAGCTAATGAAGTTTCTGTCATCATAGACTAGTTTGACTGTTGAAGAAGTTTCTGTAAATGTGGTCATACATTCTGTACCTGTAGTTATTTTCTTTTGTGCTAACATTTTCATAACTCGTCTGTGTAAATTCTAACAGGCCGATCTTCAGAATGGTCTAAACACATGTGAAGTTAGTCACAGTTATGCCTTCCATGGCTGGAATGAGTTTGATATCAGTGAAGATGAGCTGCTGTGGGAGGAATATATTTCTCAGGTGAGATGCTGTTCTGTCTTCCTCTGCTGTGGAGATCACATGAACTTTTATTATTTAGTTGTTTTCCTTTTTGAGGTTATTTGTGGAGAAAGGACAACCTTTTTAGCTGCATTTATCTAACAATTTGTATTTGTTAGGTTGGAATTCCTGTAATTTTTAGCTTATCCAGCTTGAAGGGCAGCATTTTCTATAAGGATATAGCACATGAAGATGATACTACTGTCAGTAGTTTCCTTTGCAGGTACTGTAACTTCTGCTTTTTAGGTGATAGAGATACCAATATTACTTAGGGTAATCAAGCTGGTTTCAAATCCCTCAAATATTTACCATTTTTACTTAGGGTAATATTACTTAGGGTAATCATAGCCAGCTTAGAAAATTAATAAAAGTAAGCTAAGTATTTTTAAACCCAGACTGCCCAGTACAAATTGCACCTTCATTTTTTATCAGCTGTATGATCTTTATTATCCTCTGAGCCTTCTTTTTAAATGGTGATGATAACCTTAGGAGATGGCAGGCTTTCAGTTGAGGATATCATATATAATTTGATAATTATATAACCTATTCTAGGTTTTTTTCTTATCTTGATAACAATTAACTTGCTAAAAAATTATGAGATAGTATGACCAATTTTCAACTAGTATGGTCGGTTTGCTAAACAAGTACTGAAAGGACTTCAGCGCCAGTGACAACTCCACACCCATTAAGGCCAAGAGATTTATTAAAGTGGCAGCTACAAGGGAGAGAGAGAGAGAGCAAGAGAGAAGAGAAAAAGAGGGAAGGAGAGAGAGAGTAAGAGAGGGCGAGAGAGTGTGAAAAAGAGAAAGAGGAAAGGAGAGAGAGCTATGCAGGGAAAGGGGTATATTTATGGGCCTGGCAGGGGCTGGCCAGTACCGTGTTTGGGTTTTATTGGAGGAGACTATGAGGTAGTATTCCTATAAGGAGAAGTTATTTAAGCACAGGTTTAAGTTTCTCGTGCGCGGGAAAAGCCGGAGCTTAGGGCCTTTGTTGTCTTTGTTTGGTTCAATATAGTGTTTAGCGCCATCTCAGGAGACGCCCTTCTGACTGTTCCCTGCGTCCTTCAAGTACCTTTTGCTAAAACTTTATCTTTAGGACCGGAAATTTCTGTGCCAACTAGCCTGCAGGGTTTTTTTTCTTTTTATAAAGATGTATGTTTAACTTTTCCTGAAGGACCTTTCCTGCTAATGAGCCCAAATGTACGAGGCTTAACTTTGCCAATGCATTTGTCTAAAGTAGCAGAACTGAAACTTTAGAGATTAAAAGAAAATTGTATCTGTCTTGTTTTATAGAATATATTTAAATGCATATTTGTGTTCATAGAGCCTGAAACTTCAGGAAGTGTTGACATGGTTTATTCTGGATTTATAAGCTATGATCATTTGACTTCTCGCCAGGCAATATGATTTAATGTTTTACTTGTTTGATCCCTTTAGCAAAGCTGAAGTACCTGACCCTTGGGATTCCTGTGAGAATTAAACTGTGCATATCATGTAGTTTAGCAGCATAGTGCCACTTGTTGACCATAAGTCCTGGGTGTTCTTTATCCCCCACAGAGAACACTGAATCTGCTGCTCTGCACACATCTGCCTGGTCCCTGCCCTCCAGCTGGCAGCATGCTTGGTTCACTAAACAGTTTTTTTAGAGGAAAGTGAGACCATGGGCCTTGCCCTTCAACTGTGTTGTTAGCAGCTGACATTCTAAGAGGATTTTTTGGTTTACACAGTGCTTTAATAAACATTCTTGGTTGATTCTTACCACATAAGGCATAAGATTCCCTTTTATCAGATGAAGAATCCAAGACTTAAAGAGATGAAGACATACAGTGACAGGAACAGGATTCAGACCCAGATGTCTGACTCAGGTTTGTGGTTGGTCAGCCCTGAGCCATATTGTAGTTGTTTTTTGTTAGAGTTGTGTTTCTTTTTTTTTATCCTTCACTCACTAGAGTCACTTGAAGAATGCTTTAAAAATGCTGAAGCTTCCCCTATACACAAAGACTCTGTTTTAATTAGTCTGGTGTGAACCTGGGCATTGGTTTTTTTTTGGTTTTTTTTTTTGAGTTGGAGTCTCACTCTTTTGCCCAGACTGGAGTGCAGTGGCCGCTTCCAGCCACCACAACCTTGACCTGCTGGGCTCCGGTGACCCTTCCGCCTCAGCCTTCCAAGTAGCCAGAACTACAGGCACGCACTACCACACCCAGCTAATTTTTTATTTATTGTAGAGATGAGGTCTCGCCAAGTTGCCCAGGCGTTGGTATTTTTAAGAGTTTCTTATTATTTTGATGTGAAACCAGATGGGAACCACCATGCCAGGAGTGAAGCTATGCAAAGGGGGTGGAAGTGGTGGCATGTCACCTCAGGCTGTGGTTCCTGGGGCTGGAGCTTTCTGCTGGGTGTGCTGTTTGTAGCCCAGTGCTTTGCGTCTTTGACAGGGTATAATAATGCTTCAGCATGGGAAGAGACTCTGACATTAGAGCCTTACAGGATATGTTGGCTACCTGGAGGGATTTGGTCTGATGGGCTACTGCTGTAGTCCTGTTTCTGTTTTCTCTGCTAGGCAGGTAGCAGAAAAACTAGCCTTGAGGAAAATCTTCAGATTCTTTTGTGGAGAAGGGAGTTATTCCTGTGTTATATGGCCCATCTACAGAATGATCATCTGCTCGAATTTACTTACTTGAAAAATTGTTGAATCTTATAATTTAGGTGTTTTACCCAGTGTTTAACCTAAACCTTTAGCTTTATCTTCGTCCTCTACTTTTTTTGGCCCAGAGGAAATTCAGAAAACTATATTTATTAAGTTAGTGTACTAAAAAATACATGTTTACTATAAGGAGTTGGTTAATTCTTCATTTTTCATATTGTCATTTTATTTATTCTCTGAAAAGGAGCTGTTATGAAGCTTTTAAATGTGGTTACTTATAAACTCTTTTTGGGGTTAATTGAAGAGATATATAAACTAAACGTAGACTTTTGTAATTTTCTAATCATGCCTTTTTTTTAAGCTTTTGTTGAGAGAACTGCCATTCATACAAAACAGAGTTGAGTTGCTTTCTGTTTTACTTTCAGTTTTAAAATCCCTTATCATGCTGCTCTTGGCTTCTGTGTTCATTGGTGTATTATTTTTTTATTTTTTATTTTTAGTTTTTGTAATCAGTGTTTTGTTTTGTTTGTTTGTTTTTAGTCAAACTCCCCTTCCTCCTCCAGCTTTATTGGAATAGTTTAAAATTACATTTCTATTTTCTAGGACTTCAGTTGCTTTTTCCATCTGACTTTTAGAAACTGATTACAGCAAATGAAACACAGTTGTCTAAGAGATATAGTGTACAAAAATAACATCTTGATTTCTGTGAAAATGCATTTCTCTGCAATTCCTGAATAGCTCCAAATTATGAGCACTGATGTTTACTCTGGGTTTTAGTCTTTGAAAAAAATGTGTTCTAAACCTTTGCTATCACCATCTTTAAGTCCAGCATCAACGCTGTGATGAAGGTGTTCCTGTTTAGGCTTTTTACCACAATTTCTGTCACACAGCCGTTAACGTGTATGTTTGTCTTTTTTATTTTGTTTACTCCCACTCAACTGTATGTTCTATGTAGGGCCTGATACAGATGTTACTTGATGTTATTTAACAGCTACTGAGGTCAAACAATTCAAGGCCATCATCATACTAAAATTAAAATTACTTATGGAAGTTCACAGACACTTCCAGAATTGGTTTTACCTCCTACATGGGAACATGTTCAAGAAACCCAGGACAGGCTTACTGGTCTTCCCATTCATCAATCCCTATTCACCAGTGGCACAGAAAGGGGGTTCTTTAACAAAGCATTATACGTAACACCTCTACCAAACTAAACATAAACTTTTTTTTGTAGTTAAATGCAGAAAGTTGGTTTTTTCTACCCCTTTCCTCCTTTTACACAGCAAGTAAAGCTCACTGGCCTGGGAGTTGCCTCTATCTGCCAACCTTTGGCCAGTGAAGAGGATTCAGAGAAAATAATACAACCATCAATCAGAAAAAGGAGGGACGACAAAGGAAAGTAATTAGTCTGTAGCCTCAATCGTGCATTCCCGTGCAAGATGCCCTGACTCGCCACAGCGATAACAGTTGACTTCACTTGTCTTGCTGCAGTTGTTGGCTACATGACCAGTTTCACCACACCTATAGCACTTCACTTTGGTGCAGTCTTTTCGAATATGTCCAAATTCTCCACAAGAATAGCACTTCTGCTCATCCGCATGATCGCAGTCACGAGCCAGATGGCCTGGTTTGCCACAGTTGTAGCAGCACTGCTCTCGCTCTCTCTTAGGTTCCTTGCAGTCCTTGGCAATGTGGCCACCTCTACCGCAGTTATAGCAGGCATCCTCCTGAAGATCACAATCCTTGGCAAGATGACCAGACTCACCACAGCGATAACAGATGTCTGGAAGAGATGATGAAACAAACTGGAAACCTCTATCTGAGGTAAAACCACCTCTGCCACGGCTTCTCATTCCACGACCACGGCCTCCACCAGTAGGGCATTCCCGGGCCCAGTGGCCAGATCGTCCACACTTGAAGCACTCGTTGCTGCTCATGGCTGCAGTTAGATCTTCGGCATCTAAGTGGGCCCGCAGCGGTGGAGACTTGGACGTAGGCTGGGGAAAGGCGGCTCGCAAGGTAGCAGCTGTTTATCTTCAGGGTCCTTGCCTGTGCCACACGCGGGTCTGCAAATGGCCCCACACACCAATCAGTGTTTTAACGCATCAGTTTGATGACACTGTCAATATCACTGTGATAAGAAAAAATATGTATTTTTTAATATGTTGATTATTTGTATAAATTGGGATTTATTTGTTTTGAAAAATAAATTGAGAAATTCCCTCAAGCTTTTTTGTTGATATCCACATTTTGCTTTTTGTTGCAGTAATTTTGAGTAATGTCCAAAGGTTTGTGATTGGCATACATGAAAATTCTCTTACAATCTGCTAATCTCCACTAATGTATTCTTTATTTCTTTTTTTCCTCTTTTAATTTTTATTTTAAAATTGTGGGGTACAATTTAGGGTGAGGTATACAAATATCCATTGTGCAGGTACCCTTGTTGATGAGGTGTACCCCTCCCCCAGGCAGATATCAACTACTGGTGGGAAAATTGAGACTCAAAAGGGTCAGATTGAACTGTCCAAGTTTAATGTGAGTATCATTACCAAGGTATAGAATCTAACTCTCTTGCCAGTACCCTGCTCTGATCAAAGACCAGAAACTAGGAGAAATAGAACTTTGAATGTTGGCACTTTTTGGTCCTTTAGACAATAGTAACCGCTATTGGCATTGTAATCTTTATTGTCTCATTTTGCTTATGCAGGTCACATGCTTTTTTCTAGAGTTCACATTTGACCCAGACTAATTCTTGAGTCTAAAGGGTCTTTATTTACCCAATTCAAGACTGGATTCTAATCCTAGGTCCAAATGACTGCCCGTGAGATAATTTCTCAAGAAATGCATTTTGGAAGAGTAAAAAATTATGGAAACTCTGAGCTTTAACGTTACTCATTAATAAAGTTACTGTTATAATAAGTCATAATTCATACATGAATACAAGTAATATATCACATCATATTTATATAAAGAAAGATATAATAAGTTCTGGAACAATAAAAGACAAAAATTATTAAAATGTCTATAATATATCAGAACTAAAATTATAAATTTAAAATCTAAAATTGTAGATTCTAATGAAAAGTAGGAGATATAGAGCATCAAAGTATGGTAAGCAACTTATTAATGAAGTTCTGTTGCTTATATATGCAGTGTTATGAAATTGAATACTATCTATTTTACTTTAGTAAATTCTTGAACCCAGATACAGCTCAGAGTAGGTTATTTACAGTGAATTTTAACTGCTACATTATAGACACAGAAACTGCATTACTAAATAGTTTATAGCAAGCCACAATGCATAGTACATAGGAATGTGTAGGTATCCATAATATATGTAGACAAATACTTTCATAACCACTGGGACAAAACAGAAATCAAAACAGTAAATGTAATGGGGGTCTGCTATTGAGCTCATTCATATTTCTTCAACTATTGCCCACTAGTGACAGATATTACTTCTAGTAAAAATAGATATTTAAGTTAATATAGCCACATAAGCAAAACTGAACACTTAAAGAGTATCATGGATTTTTTTCTATTTATCCTTAAAACCTAGATCATCATCATCTTTATAATTCAGGAAAATGTCATTCCCAAAGTCTAAAAACAGCCATCACTTCTAGAATCCAAATAAATCAGAATTTGTAATGTGAAAAAACCCAAAGAAATCCAAAACATTGTTTTAGATAATGTGGAATTAGAGATGTGAGCTTTTCCTCTTAGGTAGGTCTTTTCTTTCAAATTCTAGGTTTAAAAACAGTTAATTGTTAATCAGTATGTACTCTGTTTTAGGAAGAAAATAATTGTAAAGATGAAAATCCACTTTTACTTGAAACCTGTGTATCACAAAAGGAATCTATTCTGCTGATGTGAGTTAATAAACATTTTTTTAAAATTTTTATCGGTAATAGTTGAAACATATATGTATTTTAAAAATTGAAAGAAAGAGAACACTGCAAATTCAGTTTCTTCCAGGCTCCACATAACCACTTTTTTTAGTTTCTTGTGTAGAGAAAGCATCATTTCTAAAATATGTATATTCAAAACTGTCAAGTGCCATGCTCACTTTTGTAGGTCACACACTAAAATTGGGACAATACAGAGAAGATTAGTATAGCCTCTGTTCAAGGATGATATACAACTTATGAAGCCCTTTATATCTTTTTTTTAAAAAGGTCAAGTGTCATGTGTGTTCAAAGAGGCAACAGAAAAAAGCCAAACAAATGAATGTGAGTTTTCTGATAGCTCCATTTCCTAATGATATTCTATGTTAGCCTTAGTTTTTTTTCTAATCCATTAATCTAAGCACCTGCTAAAAACAAGTTCATTTTGCCTTGCTCTGACTAGGTTTCCACTGTGGTGTTTCTTTCATTTAAAATCTTTAGTTTTCTTCACCATTCTATCCAAAACTACTTTTTTTCTTAAAAAAAAAAATACAGAACCAAAAAAAGCCTTTCATCATTTTTATTTTTAGTTGTCTCTTCCCCCATTTTGTTTTTCTACCCCATCTTAACTCCTGTTGGCCAGAGCTTAATGGAACAGTCCCACACCTCAGAATATCAACTGTCATATAACCCAGTACTTACTATTCTCTCTTCCTGTTTTCTCTTTTTACCTAATTTAAGTAAAAATCTCCAAAACATGTGAATATTACTTTTTGGACATCAGTAAGATTAAAATACTAAAGTTGAAATATTAATGGAGGGAAACTATAACTGATGGAGCATCTTGGTACATATTGCTAGTTTTCTGCACCTCCTAGGTTTTTTTCTCTGTTTCTGTTGAAACAGTCTTAAAAAAATCTTTGATTTCGTATTCTATATATATTCACTTAATTCTCAAGTTTAGAAAAGAAGGGGACTAGAGAATAACCAATCCATTATCTTCATGTAACAGATGAGGAATCCAATTTTGAGTCATGTAGTAATATAAATAATTTACCCAAAGTCACATAGCTGGTACATGTCAAAGCCAAAACTGAAATGAGGTTTCCAGATTTCTAGTTCAATAGTTGCCTTCATTATTCCAAGCTTTTTGACTCTGCTACTGAATTTAGGGGAAAAGAAATCTGATGAAAAAAGTTTCTTTCCTTACCTGGCATGGTCAAAGAAAAGAAAGCATCAACTGTAGATATAAGGGATGAGGAGATGATACTAGAAGATGTCTGAGTAGGGCTGAAGCCAATGAGCACATGTCCAGTATGTAAGTCACTGGTCACATTGGTCACTTGTGATGATACAGATGTATTTACATACAGCACCATGGTAACCCCAAGATTCTACTAGGTGGTGGTAGGTTTGGTGGGTGAATCATATCACAAAGAAGGCAGTTGAAAGGTATAAAATAGCCAGTAGGTAGGTCAGGTAACAGGATTGATTGGAAGGAATTGATAGGAAAGTTATAACAGCACCAAAGTAACTGAGCCTTGGGGAGTTAAAATCCTGCAGGACAGACATGATCATCCCACTTCCCTCCAGGATCTTATGTTAGGAAGATTGTCTCAATGTTTCTTATAGATATTTATTAATATAACTGATAGTTATTTATATTTTTATGTTACTTTTCACATTATATAATATCATACTTTTGTAAAATATGTTATGTGTCCAGTTAATATCCTTGAAGAAGGAAAGGGACATCTAGGTTGAGCAATTACAGTTACTCTGAAACCTTGTCAGTGGATCTGATGAGTAAATTTACTGCAGCTTTTAAGGACCAAAGGAAAGGATTAAAGAGCTCCTTTTGTAACTTGGCTGAAAAGGGTAAAGTTCCTTGAGTGCATCTTGTAGGAAATGATGCATTGTGCAAGACTCCTTTTTTTAGTTTCCTCTCCTTGAATTCTACCTTCCTTGGACAGGTCCAGGCTGGACCAGGTTGTCCTTGCTTCTGTCGTCTCGTCTTTCTTCACCCTGATTTCAGGCATTGTTTCAGAATGCCTTTATCTTGTGTTCTTACAATAATGTGTATTACTTCCTGTCTATTTGCAGTGCAAGAGTCTTCTTTCCAATATTTTAAAATTTTTTGTGTGTATTTCAAAAAATGTACTGTGCCCACTAGAAGCAAACACTAGTGTGGTAGATGACACAACTGACTGTAAACCTTCCCTCTTCTGTCCTCTGGTCACAATTCTTTCACCTGTCATTTGCTACCTTTAGCTTCTTGGGCCATGCAGACACTCAACTACCCTGCTCTTTTATATATGTGCAAGGCATTCAGGATACTTCTCTTTTCTCCCGTAAGAGAATCTGCTGTGGAAATTACTGGATCCTCCTCCCATTTGCATCTTGGGCATCTAGATTTTTCTGTCTGCCATGCTTGAGTGCAAGGCCAGGTGAGATGTAGAGGACAATAGTTAGAGAAAGGAAACTTTAGTGGAGACTAGGGAAGAGGCAAAGTAAGAGTACAGGAAATAAGAGATTCATGTTGATTGTTGGATTCTGTGAGAACAAGTTGACACGCTTATTTTGTATTAATGGAAGAGACAATGCAATATTTTTAATAGAGCCAGATAGTCAAGAAACTGCTGTGAATTCTGTACGTAAAGAGAATAATCTTTGGGTTTTTGTGAGTTGGAGTCTCACTCTGTTGCCCAGTCTGGTGTGTAGTGTCACGCTCATGACCACTGCAGCCTCAACCTACTGGGCTCAGGTGTTACTTGCGCCTCAGCCTTCCAAGTGGCTGAAACCACAAGCATGAGCCACCGTTCTTGGTAATTTTTTGATTTATTGTAGAGACGAGTTCTCACCATGTTGCTCAGCCTGGTCTTGACCCCTGAGAGCTCAGGCAGTTCTCTCACCTCCACCTCCCAAGGTGCTGGAATTACAGGCGTGAGCTACTATGCCTGGTGAGAAGAATCTTAAATACACTTTCTCATTTTGTGTCATGTCCTACTACCTCATTTATGCCATTCATTAGTGTGTTTGTAGGCTATAGATTGCTTCTAAATGCTGTGGTTTTCTTTGTGTTTTTTTCATTGCCATATTTTTGCAGATTCCAACATTGAGGACACAGTGCATGTTTTCTCTTGATGAAATAACTTGACC